CAGAGGGAAGGCAGGTAAGGGAGGGAGGGGAAGGGAGCAAGGGAAGGACCCCTCCATGGGATCACCGGTACACGCCATAGTACCGGCGGGGATGGTCTCCCTGTCACCATGGAGGGCGGCGGGGGGCCCAGATACTTCCACAGAGGCAGGTTGTGCAGGTTTCTGGGGCATACAGGTGTTGCCACCTGCAGGGTTAGTATCCCTGGCCCCAGGCTTCTGCAAGGCCTGAACATCATCATTGTACATATACTCAGCATTTGAGCACTCACCCTCCTCTGTGGAATCTCCAGACCCCCTGACAGAGGTCTCAGGCTGACGCCGGGCGATGTTTTTCTTTTTCTTCTTTTTCTTCTTTTTGTCCTTTACGGAGTCCTCCCCAAGTTCGTTTCCAAACTTGAGGAGAGACTCCTTAATCAGCCCTCGACCTCTGTCCTGCACTTTCAGCTGCCACTCTTCACATTTCTCTCCGTCCCACTCCTCTTCACTGTCCTTCTCTCTGGCCTTCCCCTCCGTCTCAGCAGCGCCCCCTGGAGTAGCAAGGGCAGAGGTAGACGGCTCCCCAGGTGAGTGATGGGAGTTGGAATCCAAGTCCTTGCTGGACTCCTCACCTGGGGACATGTCCCTCCTGCCCTCCATAGCCCTCTGCCTCCTGGACCTCGCAGCGTCCTTGGCTCTCTGTTGCAGGATGGCCTGGATGTCTGCTATTTTCTTTTCAGTCTGGAGCAGGGTGTAGGATAGATGCTGCTCCACTAATTTTTTCTCAGCTATAGCGGCCCTCAAAGGACCTCTTTTGTAATTAGAGGTCCTGTTTGATTTTTCCCTCTGCTCCCTTAGCTCTGCCTGGACCCCAGCTAGGCCAGAGTCTGCCTCGGCATGCTGGGCCTTCAGGGACACAAGCAGACCCCGGAGCCTGTCAGAAGGTAGCCCCATAAAGACCCTAGCCTCAACCCCCTCACCCTTTGCAGCCTCAGCATAGGTGAGGGAGGCCTGAGGGGTCTTGCTGGCACTAGCCACCTCAGGGGGGTCTCAGGGACTACCTCCTCCTCGGTACCCTCTCCCACCTCCAGGGACGGGGGGGGCTGTTCTAGGAAGTGGAGGCCACTGCTGGCAAGTTCACGGCACTCAGCCAGCAGCCCAGAGAGCAGCTGGATATCGGCCCTGGTGTGGGCCGTAGCTCCCTGGGGGACCCCCACTTCCCTTTTCCATGCTGTAAGCTTCCTAGACATCCCCCCCGCCAGTTCCTCCAACAGGGAGACCTGGTTTCGTATTTGCCGGGAGAGGGCCTGATGCTCAGTCCAAGACAGGCCCCTGGTATCCGCCTTACCTTCCCCAAAAGCCAGCACTGCCTGCAGCTCGTCCAGCCTGACCTTCCATCCCCAGGCTGGGGAGGAAGGCCCGAGGGCCATGCTTGCCTAGGCCCAGGCAGAGCCCCTTGCTGTAGTATTCCAAAGCCCAGAAATCGAGCTCCAAAAGCAGCCACAAACGGGTGTGGTCCTGGGAACACACAGGCGAAGCACAGAGCAGCTCACTCTCCAGCAGCAATGGCAAACTCCTCCTACTCCAGTGGGAGGGGAGACAGTAAGCCCCACAACGGTGCAGATGGGACCGTGGTCTCTACACTGCCAGCACAGGGGGTAGGGACGGTCGGTCCTGCCCCCCAGCGACAGGGCTGTTTAGCCAAAGGGGAGACAGTCGGTCTCCCCCTCCAGCAGCAGAGATGGGTAACCAAAGGGGAGACGGTCGGTCTCCAGCAGCAGGACTGTGCATCTAAAGGGGAGACAGTCAGTCTCCAGCAGCAGCAGCAGAGCGGTGTATTTAAAGGGGAGACAGTCGGTCTCCCCCTCCAACAACCAGGCTTCCACCAGGCTACCCTCCCAGTAGCGCTGGCAACAGGGCAGAGTGCCGCTGGTCTCTGCCCACGCAGCAACCCACCAAGTCAGCGTACCCGTACCCAGCACAGCCGTGGTGAGGCACCTGGACATGGACAAGCTTCCCCTTTACCCAGGTGTAGTAACCATTTATTGTGGGTGGGCTGTGCTGTTGATTATTTGTTGTGGGTGGGCTGCTGGACTAACAAGGGCACTGACCGGCAGGAGGTCAGATACCCTGTTAGTCTGTTTGGAAAAGGGGAGAGATGTGACGAGACCAATCTCGCCACATTGCATTGGAGAAGCCTGGTTGCTCGCCTGCTGCCTTTGGACTATGGCCCCTTTTAAAAGACTTTATTTTTGCATGCAGAAAAGCTGTATTCGTGCTTTTCTGCCGGTTGTTCGGTAGTTTCAATCTACCGAACAACCGTACGAATGACTGGACCACCTGGGAGCTGGAGTGTGCCGGCAATTAACCTCCCTGAAGCTGCGGTTAACCGCAGCTTAATTGATGAACGCTGGGTGGCCGCCATTCGTATCCCGAACACGAGGTCGCGGCCATTTTAAACCATACGAATGAACAGCGGTGTTCGCCTCTATTTTCATGGAACTAAAATCGGACACAGTTTTGCGCGAACACCGCTGAAGCCGCCGACCTCCCTTCTTGTTCGGTGAAAGCACACGAATGACCCGGTGTTCGGTATTTTTGTGTGAATGTCTTATACCCCAGATAGGAATCCCATGGAGCCCATTCGTATGAAACTGACTGTAAAGACTTTGGCTCCATGGCGATTGAACTGTATTCGTGTAGTCTGAGTGCCATTCACCTAATAATGTGCACTCAGACCTGAGCTATCTGGGGATGTGTTACATGTCGGTGTTTTATGTAGTAAATGTTACTTTGTGCATTTTAAAGTGTTATGCTGGTTTTGTGTTCCCACGTGTGTAATGGAGTTTTGCCTTTGTCTTGGGAGATAATTGAGTTACTTCCCAATTATCTCCCAGGGCAGAGGGGAGGAAGCCAGGATGCATTGTGGGAATATACTGTGACTGTGTGTCCTTTTTGTATACTTGTCTGTCCCTTGTCACAGTCTTCCATCTGGTCCCCTAGGGGAGTGTCCACCAGGTGGGAGACCTGCATAAAAGCTGGGCAGGTAGCCCTCATTAAACAGACCACTGCTTGACCCTCAACACGGAGCCTTGTCTCGTCTTTGGGGGGATTTACTGTATGCTGCTAAGGACTGATTGCCAGGAGTGTAAGCCGCTTGGAAGCTTTTCCTGTTCGCCTGCTAGCAGCTATTCGTATGGTTCCTGTTCGTTTATTTGAAGTGCTACCTTATTCCCTTGTATGCCGTTCGGGAGTTTGGAGCATTCACTTATTGGCGGTTCGTGAGTTTTGGTGGTTCTACAGTAGCTGTGCCTGACTCTGAAAGGGGGATTATCGTCTAAGCGGTTTTTTCCCCTTTTGTGCAAAACGGTCCGTTACAGAGATATTAGAAGATGAGTAGGGGAACCAGGAGGGATATGAGGGGGGTATTTTATGAACTGGACTGTAATGCTAATGCCGAAGCGAAAAACTTAACTGTGACTTTTTGATAGGTGAGGCCCTGCTAGTGCCAAGTGGCGGTGAGAGGCTCTACCTATGATTTGGCTTCGAGAAATCGTGGCCACAGACGTGGTGGCGGG